ACCCCTGCTCTAGCCACAACCCCGTCTTCTCCCTTTTTGAATGAACACTACCCTTCTTTTCCCCCACAACATGCTGTCCCTGTAACTACAGCTCCCTCACAGTTTATTGCCGCTGCCTCTTCATTAGTCAATGAATCGAAACCCATTATGGATACCTATGACGGCGCCCCTATTCGGATTACTGTAACCTGTGATGCTACTTCTCAAGAAAGAGATATTCCTAGGCATTCTGTTCGTTCCTCCCATGCCCATCAATCAAGTAAGCTTTTGATCTCTAGTCTGAACATAGCACTTTATTTTAGATTTATCGATCACTATGCTCTTTTCAGATATCTCTTCTCATCGGCTCCGTTCTGGCAGTCTTCATCTGCGTTTACGTGGCCAAGAAGATTTTAACGCTATTGATAAGCGAGCAGACTCTTCATCTCCAGCTTCTGATTCTACGGAATCTACATTAAAGTCTCATTCTTCTTCTCTTGCAATTAATGCTATTATTTCTCCACCAAGCTCTCGTCCTTTAAATGAAAAACTTTCATCATCAATCTCCACATCCATTGCTGACTCCCGCTCCGACTGCCTCGCTGATGAAGTCAAAGCAGGACTCACTACTGGTCTAATGCCTTCATTGAGTCCTGCAATTGAGCGCAAAATATATCCCTTGCGCTCTCGTCTTCGTCGTGAGTCTTTACGTCGTGAGTTGCAGGCAGCCCAGACCGCTCCAAAACGTTTTGACCAAATGCCCACTGAAGTGCTCCTACGCATTGTTCACTATCTAAGCATTCAAGATCTTTTCAGGATACAACGTGTAAATAAGCGTTTCAAATCGATCATTGAACGTTATCTTCTTCTTGTTAAACGGATCAACTTCAGCAATGGCCTTCCTTTCGCCTTCCTACCCGATGCACTGGACGATGCTGCTATGAAGCGCATTCTTTCGCGCACCCCTGAAGTAACTCACATCCTCGGCTTCTACCCACGACATATTTGCGGATCTTACCCGGTCGATTCGCGCTATTTGGGTGGTCGGCCTGGCTGTTCTGGCCCGCTATCATATGTGGGAATTATTGAAGCGTTTCGCAGCTGCACCAAATTGCGCTCTGTCGAGCTCATGGATGTCGAACTTATGAGCAAACTTGTGCATTACTTACCTAGAGTCAAATTCCATGGCATGTTTCGCAATCGACCTGATTCGTGGGATTCCGAGTATGCTGTCCCTATGCCTTCAGAAGGTGGTGGTCCGTGTTGCATTGACCCAACTTTTTCCGAGAGCCCACTTCCAACTCCTGACGGAAGCACCAGTGGGGGGTCCCTGCTAGCGACCGCTGCAGCACCTGGCCAATTACCTAGCTCCCAGAATAGGCTCGCGCCGACATCACTCTTTGGCTGCTATGTAAGCACTCTATTCAGCACTGTCAGTGCAGCAACTGCGGCCACGTCGACTCGGCCTACAGCAATGGCCGGTACTGAATCTTCATCTTGGAGCCCTCAGGCGACGGGACACTCGTTTGGCCTAGCCGGACATGCCTTCAACAGTTCTATTTCCTTCCCTCCGTTCTCAACGTCCTCTTCT